GTGGTGGTGGTTATGTGCTGATCGTTTTCATCAGTTCCCCCCTCCTCCCATCCTCTCCCCACCTCCCCCCTACCCTTCTGGTATCGCTACTCCCATTCCTGTTCCTGGATTCCATGTGTCATGAGCTCTTTTCTCTGATCTGCACCTAAGCACATGCTCCAGTCTAGCCCATAGTGAAAAGCAACTTTGTTTTGAAGAAGGGGAGCGTATAGGACCGATAGAACACAGAGCAAAAATAATACCAGTAAAAAGAGCAACTGGGTCCCACACATTGCCACACAAAGAGGATAGTGTGGAGCATTGGTCTTTGAAGCAATTGGGCACAGTGTCTGGTAGTATGATACCTTACTACTTTGTAAACGTGTAGGGTGTCAGAGTAGGGTTGAGACTAAGGCTGGGGAGTGATTTTGGCTCTGCTTTGGCAACAAGTCCTGTATTCTTGTGATTTAAGTTAATTATCTTGGGAGAATAAGCCTCTAGTGAATCAGGTCAGAGGGAATGGTATTTGCTTGTTTTTTACAATGAGGGTGACCAAATGGGGGGTGGGAGAATGGAGTCTGTACCTACAACCTACCTAAGTGGTCTAGATGGGAGGCATAAACCAATAACCTACTCAGAGGGAAGGTGGCTTATGCAAGAGGCTTGCAGTGCTGATCAGGGACTGGAGCAGCCTCTGGGCCCCTAAGCTTCCAGTCTCTGTCTCAAGCCTAAATTCCCTGCCTGTGCTTGGCAAAACCCACTGCTGCAGTTTCTACTTGTTTTGTTGTGCTAATACTTTGTTAATAGAACAGGTGTGTGTTGGCTGCTACCCAGAGAAGTTTTAAAAAAAAAAGTCTTCTAATGGCAGTTTTTTTAAAGCTTTTTGGGCTTTTGGGGGTGTCTTAAGATCAAGACTGTGCCAAGCTGTACCTCAGAGAAGGGGGGGCAGTTTTTCCTAAGGAGCTCCTTGGGCTTCGGTTCACTATTTACACCCACCCCAGGCTGCCCTGTAAATTTATCCCTATGTGGCTTGGTAGGCTGTGGGCAACACAGCCTGCTATTGGGGAGTTAGAGCTGTGGGCTATCTACCAAGCCAAAGCTATTTATACTTTCATTCATCCAGGATTGGTCCTACAGAAATATGTCCCTGCAACTCCAGGTTTCTGCACTTGTCCAGCGAGTGCCATGGGCCAGTGACAAAGGGGAACCTTATCAGCAGACATTGCTGCTCTTTAATCTTAGTAAATTTGTGACCACTTATCTTTATGCTGGTTATCCTGTGGTCTAGAAGTGTAGGATAGCCCTCTCAGTAGCTTTTTTGTGCTGCGCTCTATGGAGTCTTTCCCATGTGTGCTACCTGTTCACCATCTTTCCCAGAGACATGTTCAAACATCTTTTGTTTGGGGTAAACCTGTGCATATATGAATTGAAACCCTAGTAGCAATATTTTATTATTTACCTTTGTTTGTACACCACAGTTCATCACAGCACAATTCACAATAGTAAGCAACCATAGTGTCCATTAATTGATGAATAGATAGCTGAAATGCAGATAGATGGAATGCCATTTCTCCCCACTCCTAAAAATCTAGAATTATAATGTAGAGTAAGAATACCACTTTTTTTTAATTTATAAGATTTTAGATACCATTGGAGAAAATGATTAAGTTTATTTTTAAGATTTTCAAGAATAATATCAATATGCTGATATTAATTTTAAGATTAATCTTGACTTTACAAATGTTAAAATATAAAAACAAATGTCTTAGTGTCAAGTGAAAATAAGGGTGACTTATATTTTTACTTTAGTTCAAGTGAACTGTTACTTTAGACTAGCCCAGGAGTTTGACTTTTGTATTGAATAATGGCAATTATGCCATCATTTCTTAGCAATATGGATCCTGAGTTCCAAATTAACGTAAAAGGCATGTTGTGTTCAGAGCGCATTTGAACATCTCTACAAGCATCTGAGAGTAGGATAATCTACATTTTTATAGCCATGCATTACATTTGGTCCTCTACGGATTTCTACTTGGGAGAAGAAATGGGACAGTATCTCTGAAGGTCAAGCAAGAAGATATTAAATAGGGAACAAGTGAGATTATATAATAAGCCCATTGGTAGAGTTATAGTTTCAAGCATTTAAGATGACCTGAGATCAAGTTTGTTAGGTGGAAATTATCTACTTTTAATCATTCTGAGCTCAAAAGCTCCGTTTGTAGAATTTTGCAACTTCTTCTTACAAACAATATTAAAATTCACTGTCATCGAGACACTGCTGACTCACAGTACTCCTCTGTGGGTTTCCAGGATTGCAACTGTTTGTGGGAGTAGAAAACCCAGTCTTTTGCCCAAGTTGCTGCTGGTGGATTCAAACAGCCAATTATTCAGATCACAGCCCAACATGTAGCCAGTACACAACCAGGGCACCCACAAACAATATGCGTCTCACCCAAAACTAAACTCACGGCCATCAAGTTGATTCTGACTCCTAGTCACCCTGTAGCACAGAGTGCAACTGCCCAGTAGTGTGTCCAAGGTTGCGGATCCTTATGGAAGCAGACTGCTTTATCTTTCTCTGACGGCATGGCTGTTGAGTTCACACTTTTCAACTTGTAAGCTAGCAGACAAACACTGAACTACTGTGCCATAGACCCCATATGTATTAATCTTAAGATGCTACTTGGATGCTACTTAGGATGTTTCTGCCTAGCTGTTTTCCACCCAAAGAGGATGATGGCATGTGCATGTAAAACGAATAGATAGGTTAAGTAATGAGGATATGTCATCTGAAATCTTCAATATTTCAGAAAAGTATGTAATTCTTTTCATATTTATATTCTTAAGAACAATGAATGCACCTAAGGTGTGAATACATAATATATCCCAAAAATGCATCCCATCTAGATTTTTATATTTCCTTATGTTGCATTGTACAAACCCAGAAAAACAATTAGCAGCTCTTCACGTCATTTGATAAACAGGCCAGAATAGCACACTCAAATGAGAGCTGTGTTGTCTCCAAACTCCAAGGAGTCCCACCCTGTACGAAGCCCCCTTAAATCATAGCAAGACTGTGACCAGATTAAGGAGATCTATTTTCCCCACAACTACTTGATTGCTTCGTAGAAGAGCCCCTCGTGGAATTGATCACATCATGGGAGAATCTTGGCCCACCCACGTGACATAAAACCTAACTATCACAATACTGAAAGGGCAAAACCACTAAGAAAATAGCCATTCACTTACAAAGAAACAACAATCCACTTAGCAACAGACCTGGAAATAGCTAACTAGAAGCCAAACATCAGTAGACTATTTTCAAAGCACTGTGAGATATAAACCCAACCCCAAACCCACTGCTATCAAGTCAATTTCAACTCACAACAATCCCTTAAAGCAAACAACTAACTGCCCCTTTGGTTTTCTAAGGCTATAAATTCTTGTAGAGCAAAACCCTCCTCTTTCTCCTTGGAGTGGCAGTTAGCATCCTGACACATGAGTCACCAAGGATTCCAGGAGATGCAGTTAAGAAACAAATGAAAACTAAATTTCAGATCATGCCTCGGGTTCTCCATAGAAAGTTCTCTATGTAGGAGGAGTAGCCTGCATGGGTCTCATGCTTGGTTTAATGTTAAGTCTGCTATCACCATCTTGATAGTCTTCATGTTCAAGGAAGAAGGGCCATATTTTCATTTTTTCCTTGGCCCTTCAAATTATGTGGCCAGTCCCATTGGGTAGGTATTGAGGATGTACAAAGCAGGTAAGCTGCATTTTATATAATGTCTTGTGAAGTTCAGCAAAACAAAGTAAACATGTATCCACCTTTTTTTTGCAGTAATCCAGGCCTTATAACTTAAAAGGCAAAAAGGAAGATTCATGCAAATACATTTGACAGACTATTCAAGTCACTTGTGCAGAAGAAAGGGAAGAGAAGCCATGTTATCAGAGATAGTTCTATGAATGTGAGAGAAAGTTATCAAAAGGCAAAAATCTGTTAAAACAGGCTGTTTGCACAGTGCATGAAAAAAATGGGGTAAGAGCATGAAAGGGAAGGAGGGACAGGAGAAAAGAGTAGATACAAAGATAAAGTTGATGCAGGTGGAAAGGAAAAGTTATTTCTTTAGCATAAATGCTCATAATCAACATCATCAATAATGTCTATATACAAAATCAACAGCTCAAAACACCAATAATCCTAATTTAAAAATCTGAAAGAAGTCATGCTTCCAGTCCATTAAATTAGGCAAGGACATTGTATCAGGTAATGATGAGGAAAAGCTAGTGCAAAAGGTATAATGAATCTACTTGTTCAATTCTTTTGTTATAAGAAGACTTTGGTAAGATTAGCCTCGTTGATGTTGAATTAACTATGAGCCATGGTGAGCTCATGTGTATCATGAGCATTTCCAATGACTGATATGTCAAATGTAGATCTCTCGGCCTTGCTTCTGAGGCATCTAGGTGGACTCTAACTTCCAACTTTTCAGTTGGCAATTTAGTGCATTAATCATTTGTACCACTCAGGCACAACTTAGTATACTAGAATGTACTTTTAATGCCAGAGGAATACTAATATTAAACTGATTCTGTTTCATGGCTTTAAATGGATACTAGCTATCAAGTTGGGTTGTTTGCTTTTTTCCAACTGTGCTCTGACCTTTAAAGAAATGTAGGGTGAATTGCAACACCTGTATTATATTTACAGTCATCTTTGTCCATTAGGAAATAAAGTAGCAAACTAGCTATCAGATAGTACCATTCTTTAGACGAAAATTCAGAGTGAAAAAATACATAGCCTTCTAAATTCAGGATTAAAATGGACAATTCCTAATCTCGATTTTGAGGTTTTATTGGGTGGGACGTAATGGGATGGTGTAGTGGAGTGATGGTGTAGAAGTCTGACTTCCTAACCATAGTCTTTGTTACTCCCACCAAATAACTGTATAGAAACATGCAAACAGGGAGTGTGAATTTCTAATATGGGGATTGACCAATTGTCACATTCCACCAGGTGTAGAATGAGCCATCTCAAAAGCTGAAGACCCAGGAGTGGAATGCATCCTCTGGACCCCAAGAGTCCTGCACACAGCAACTCCTCAATCCAGGACAAAGTGGTGACATGACAGGAACAGCAGTAGCAGAGGCAGCAGAACCAAGAGCCAGTGCCCGGGACAGAGCAGCAGCAAGACTCCCGGACCACCAAGTGAGTGAAGCTGAGTGCTTTCTCGCAAGAGGCTCACTTGCAAAGTGAGATGCGTCCAGACACTTAATTGAGGAGCTAAATGTGTTGACCTAGAGTTGAAAGCTTTTGAGCTATGACTTAGAGTGGAAGGGCATGCCCTTAAGACCTTTGTTGGTAGGGCTAAAAGAGCCTTGCAACACTTGCCTAAGCAGAGCATAGGCCGAGAGACTGAGGACCAGAGTGAGGTGTACCTGCAGTGATAGCTGAAAAGGGGTGCTCCTAGCCCGAAAAACTGCATCCGGAGCATTTTTTATAGGAGTTGTAACTTCCCAACTAAACCCTCTAACCTAGTTCTATGTGGCCATTGCAATGAGTTTCCAAACTAAGCAGAATGCACTGAGAGAAATGACTGGTGTCAGAACTGGTAACGAAGTTGGAAGGTGGAGGTGTGTCTGACCTCCACGTCATAGGATTCCCTCTTGGGCTGGAGTTGAGATTGATTCTTCTTCCCTAGTGAAGTCAGCAGGGGTCACATGTGGCCCTGACACCTTTCATGCAGTTGGTGAACCAAAGTGAAGGGACAGGTGACAAGAGAGAGCAAGAGAAAGAACCATGATTTCATGTCTATGCAAGGCCTCTAGGGACAGTTTAGATCGACCTGGAGAGGGTCTGTAGGGACTACCTCTGACTCTCCTAGTTGATGTGGGAAGTAGAGATTTCCTGTGAAATGAAATTAAGCAACATTTGTAGAGAAACTAATTGGATGTAAGTAATAATTTCCTTTCAGGGAGTCATTGCACACTGACCTGGGAGAGTGTGGAATCTCCTTCTTTGGACACTGTTCAAACTAATGTAAGTCCAATCATCCAGGACACAGTTTCCCAAGCTGAGGTTTCTCTTTTTTGTAACACGATATAAGAGGTAGAAATGTGAGGGGAGAGGGTGATTCAAAAGGACTCTCCAACCTGACTTCACAGAAGCATCCCACGCTGGCTCCTCTCCTTCCGTCCCGGTTTTTCTCTTCCTTTTTTCAGAGAACTCCCTCCAGATGGTTCTCTCGGCTACTTTCTCTCCTTCCAGGACAAGTTCTTGGTGGAGTGATTGAGTCTACATTAGCACGTGAAAGCTTCGAAAGGGACATCAGTGACCAGGTTGCCTAGAGACAACAAAGAATGATTTCCTTATAACCAAGGTTCGGGGACTTTTCCTCTTTCTAAGATCCTTTCAGATTGGTTTTGACAACCAAAATTCCACTCCTTCCTCTTTCAATCTCTGCATAGTATCTTGAGCAAACAATGGCACTTCTCTTCTGCCGTTGTTTCTGTGTGCTTTGGATATATGCTTGTTGTGAAATTAGAAAGAGAGACAGCCAAAGCTTGTGTCTGCTACTTCCCCATACAAGGAACTTGACGGCTGTGGCTTAGCAGCCGTTTGCTGACTTATTTTTAGCCTGATCCCCTGGATGAACCACAAGGGCAAATGACAAGTAGGTCACATTTGCTCGTCTGATGACCTGGACAAAAATATAAGTGAGCATACTGCAAAATAATGTTCAGGGTAAGAAAAAGAGAGCAAGATGAAGTCAGGAGTAGGACATCGGGATAATGAATTTGAAAGCGACAAAGAAGAGCAATTTTGGACTTCGAGTGTTGCATTCAAGAAGAGACCTTGGCTAACACCATTTCCTCATATGAGGCGGTCTTTAAATAGTTTGTGGAGACCAATGAACAATCTAGGACAAACAGCCACGCTTTCAAAGTCAAAGTCTTTACATGCTACTAAGAGCTGGTACCCATTTGATAGAAAGAGTCATGTCACCAGGCAAACTTCAGGTCTACAAGAAATATGTCAAGGTTTCCAGACTATTGCAGGTAGAACCAATCAGAAATCAATTTCACTCACACATTGATTGCTTATTTACAATTAATGTATTTACTGGATATGTCTGTTGCATAACAGCCTGTGGGCGTGGCTACAGGAGATAAACAACAAAAGAGGACAGTCTGTGCTAACAAGACCTCCAGTTCATCATCAGACACGTGCCAAGGGCAAACTGCTAGAAGAGGATAGTCGTGTTTGCTGCTCCCTCTTCCTCACAACCGACCTTCCAGCATTGTCTACGTGGAGATTCCACTTGGATGATGATTCTTCGTTCAGTCACTCTGGGTGCACACTGGGAAAAATCTCTGTTCTAAAGTGATGGAGAAGATGAATCTTTGCAGTCCAGCTAAAGGGAAAATGTGTTATAAATATTATTTCTTTAAGCTAGAGGGGGAAAATGTTGTTAAAGAAATACCATTTGAGAAAATGTAAAGATTTAGGCATAGTAGTATGTTTTCTTTAAAATTTCTTTAAAATACAATTTCTTAAAAAGTTACAGGAGATAACAAAATAAGCACAAAGTCAAACCATAGGTGTCCTGTTTCTAATGCTTCATTAAGAAATATTTCAGGACTGACAGTGGTAGGGAATATTGAGCACACATACAAGGGTGATCCCATCCATCCAGGTGAGGAGGGATGGCCCCCAGTCCTCACTGATCACTCCAGGAAGCTAGATCACTGCATGTGAGTAGCTTTCACATTCATTCACCTTTCTTACACTTTCTCCTTTCCCTGTTTGTTCCTGACCAGAAGCAGCCAGTAAGTGGTATCTCCAGTTTCTCAAAAGAAGGCTAATAAAAAACAGTCGCCCTAAGTTTGAATCCGAACCACCGCACCCTTTCCATGTGCTTTCACTTTATCAGAGTGTTCCCAGACGGTGGCTCGAGTTACTATGTTTGCACAGTTAGTGATCCAGAAACACACAGAATTCATGGCATGTGGGTAGTGTAAATGGTCAAGGTACTAGGATGCTGACCAAAAGGTTGAAGATGTAAGTCCACCCA